CCGTGCGCCCCGCGCCTTTCCCGCCGCTCGGCGTCCTCGGGACCGCCGGCGAGCGGCCCCCGGGGCTCGCCTTCCCTTCGGCCAGCTGCGCGCCTTGTTCGTCCCACAGGTTCCTTCCGAAAGCGAGCTGGAGTCTGGCTTGGCCGCCTCGGGGAGTGGGGGCACAGCTAGAAGGAGCCAGAGCGTGAGTGTGGCGGAGGGCGGCGCCGTGGCTGGAGAGAGCCCAGTACCATTCTTTTGCATCTTGGTGTTCCCGGTGCTCCGCGCACTGGGGCTGGCTCCATGTTTGCGGAATGAATCAGTCATTACTCTCCTTGTCCCCTTCCGAAGGAGGACTTTTTGAGGTCCACGTGCTGCAGAGCACGTTGGGGCGGTGGGCGGGGGGGCTCCTGAGCTAGCGAGGGCTGCCCGGTCCTGCATAGTGGAGACCCGACTTTCATTTCTCCACCTCCTCTCCGCACTCCCTTCTAGGGGATGCTCCCTTCAGTTTGGGACTTGGGGGTGGTGGGGGAGGAGGGAGCTTGTAGGCCCAGACTGGTGTGACCAGGGACTTGAAGGTGAACAAGGGACTTGTGAGGGACAAGGGACCTGCGCAGGGCCTCTCGGAAGGTAACAGGGCACAGGGGATGCTGCAGAGCAGAGCACCCACCGTGAGCAGGGGCCACATCCTACCTTTCCGGACCAGCCCGGAAAGGCCACCACAGTAGAGATTCTGACCTGCAAGCTACTGAACTCCTCTGAGCCTCTGTTTCTTCACCAGTAAAATGGGGATATTAGTACCCATTCCCCAGGGCTTTGTGCACATTAAGAAAAGTGTCATATGAAACCAGCCAGCAGAATGCTTGGCACATCCAGGGTACTAGCAAATCTTAGTTTTCTTTCTTTGCTCTCTGGAAAACAAACAAACAAACAAACAAACAAGCAGAGAGTTATTCGTTACCATCCCCTCTGTCCCCAAATTGGTCATGGACAGACACAGCAGGTGTGTAAGCACTGTTTGTTGAATGAATATGCTTGATGGAGCGACACCACTCACCCTCCTCCTCCTCCCAGAATCCGCAGGCAGAGGTCGGGAGCTGAGCAGCAGAGACATGCCCGTGCTGTCTGAGGACTCCGGTGAGTGCCTTTCCTGGGCTGGGCCTGCCGGAAGCCCTGGAGAAAAGAGCCTGCCCCAGCAGCCCCAGGCTGGGAGGAAGCAGGATGCTGCCTACATTAGCTCACAGGAGCTGCCCTGCCCGAAAACCCTGGGGATGAGAGCCTGGGGAGAGAATGTCCACACGGCAGGGTCCACTTGGAGTCCCACAGGGGCAGGGAGTACCCATGGCACTGGCCAAACTTCGTGTGTCTTACCCTCTCCTCAGGTTTGCATGAAACCCTGGCACTGTTGACTTCTCAGCTCAGACCTGACTCCAACCACAAGGAAGAGATGGGCTTCTTGAGGGATGTTTTCAGTGAAAAAAGCCTCGGTTACTTGATGAAGGTAAAGCCCCATTTCATCCCATCTGCTGAGGGTTTCTAGAGGTTTTCCTAGCTGGCTGAGGCCCGTGAAGTTCATCTCAAGCATTCCCCTGCCCCGGGAAGGTCTTCGTTAGCCCACTATGAATGGCTTTCTCTTGGGCTGACCCATCGGTGACCCACTCTGCAGCCATCCGCACAGTCGTGGGCAGGCTGTGGGGTACCCAGGGTACACCTGGGCAGCTGACTTGGGAGGCCCCAGCCTGAAATTGGCTGTCTTTGCAGATTCACGAGAAGCTTCGCTATTACGAGAGGCAAAGTCCAACCCCCGTTCTGCACAGCGCTGTGGCCCTTGCTGAGGATGTAAGCCCCAGGTTTTTCCTTACGGTGTTAGCCCCACTCCCGACCCCGTAGGGCCCCTTCATCTTGCCCGTCACCATTGCTTAGCCTATAGGGGACATAGGGGCTCGGAGCCCAAAGGTGAAGAGACATCTCCTCCCCTTCTCCTCTTGTTCCTCCTTGGGCCTCCTAATGGGCAGGAAGGAACTTGTGAGCCTTGGACTGAGCCAAGGGACACAGGGACATGAGGATGCCTACTTACTGTGTGTTCCCGAGAAAGTCTGTTCCCCCCGCTGTGAAATGAGAGCATTTGGATCAGATCAGCAGTTCCAAACTGTTGAGGACTGGCAATATGAAGGTCAAACAATTGCCTTGTACTGTGCTTTGGGGAGGCCCAATGTGAAGTCCTGGGGTCAGGTGACTTGCAGTGTGTCCCTGCCTATTGGCTCAGGATTCCCATTTTTTTAAGGAATGCTTCCTAACTTCTTGTGGACCTGCCCTCTATGTTGCATGGTTTAGGAAGTTGATGGTCAAGGCCAGCTCCTCAATAAACTCACCTAACACAGGAGATGGCCTGGCAAGGCATGGGTGCAGACCTTCCCTCCTTTCTCCCCTATGTGACGTGATTAGGAGCACGTTAGGCTGTCAGGCTCCCAGGCTCGGCACTGTCTCTCCTACCAGCTCTGGGACCTGCCACAGGTCATTCAATCGCTCTGAGTCCCAGTTTCTTCATCTATAAAATAGCACAGATAATAGAGCCACATAGGCCCAGGTTAAAATCCTGGCTTTTCAACCTAGGGCAAGATATTTAATCTCTCCTATGTAATTCTCATCTGTCAAATGGCAAAATAATAATACCTGCTATGTTGAGTTCTCTGTGAAATTTAGGTGGGAAAGTCCGCATAAAGCAAATAGCACATAGTAAGGGCTTAATAAGTTAGCTCCCATTAGGAGTACTCTCCATGAGCTGCTCTGGCTCTTCTGATCCAGGCTGTGATTTCCCTGAGAGTGTCAGTCCTGGGGTGGCTGAGGATCCCATGCACTCTCAGATGCTGTCACAGTTCCTGCGAGGACCCTCGAGTCTGAAGCTCAGGGAGCAGGGTTTTCTCTGGAGACTCCCAGCGGGCTCGAAGCACCCACAGCCGCGTGTGACGTTCTGTCTCATTCCTCCACAGGTGATGGAAGAGCTGCAGGCCGCCTCCGTGCACAGCGACGAGAGGGAGCTGCTCCAGCTGCTGTCCACCCCCCACCTCAGGGTAGTCACATAGTCCCTGCCTGCCCACACAGCTTGTGTCCCCTGGGATGGGGGCCGTGGGGAGCGCTCGGCTGAGAGGCTGAGGAAAGAAGAGTTCTGAGTGAGGGGGTCCTCAGGACCAGTGTCTGGGTGGTGGTTTCTCTGGCATGCAATCTGAGACCCCCAAATCACAGCCCAGCCAAGGCCCCCTGACCTCTGGTAGCTTTAGGGCTGGCCCTTCACTTCTCTTGCTTTCCTGACAGGCCATGCTCATGGTACACGATACAGTTGCCCAAAAGAATTTCGACCCCGTTCTTCCCCCTCTGCCCGATAATATTGACGAGGATTTTGATGAAGAATCAGTGAAGATTGTCCGCCTGGTAAAGAACAAGGAACCCCTGGTATGTGACACCCACCTCTCTTTCCCCACCCCCTCCATGTACCACTCTCCCACCCACCCAGAAACCTGGGAAGAGACCCCCCGCCCCGAAGTCCCTGGAGTGAGTGATAGTAGCATTGTCAGGGCTACCACTGGTCCCCGTGACACCTTTGTGTGCAGGGTACCTCTTTCTCTGGGTGGACACAGCCTCACTTGACTGTGGCCAAGCTCCTTTGTGCAGTAACAACCTGCGCAGCTGTACAAGGCAGCCCTGATCAACGTGCTCCGCATCAGAGCTTGGCAAACTATGGTCCAAGGGCCAAACCCAGCCCACTGCCAGTTTTTTAAAATAAAGTTTTACTGGCGTGTGGCCATGCCCGCTCATTTACGTATCGTCTGTGGCTGCTTCTACGTTGCAACGGCAATGTGGTGTAGTTGCCACGGAGACGGTGTGGCCTGTGAAGCCTAAAATATTTACATTTGGCCCTTTACAGAAAAGTTTGCCAAATCCTGCTCTGAATACTGAGGAAGCAAGGGGCAGCCGCCGTTCTCCCCAGCTGACAGATTGTTATCATTCTGGTCCTAGTGCAGCAGTGATTTACAGAGCGAAGGGACAGGGTTGTTTATTAGATGGGGGGAAGTGGAGGAAGTCCAGAGAGTCTAGTGTTTGCCCCAGAGAATGGCACAGCTGGCATTCTTGATTTTCAGCTTTCACCAAGGGCACTCAGCTAAACCACTTCTGCAAATGGAAGGGAAGCTCTCGGCCCCCTCTGTTTCCCCCACTGCAAAATGGGGCAGGCATCCATTGACATGGTCAGGGTTGTCTGGTCCTGAAGCTCTGGCTGGTCATAATTGGTTCCCCTTGGCAACCACAGAAGGCCCAGTACCCCGTGATTGATTAGAGGTTGAGAATTTGCAGGCACGTTCTCTCCTTATTATTAAATGTCTTTGCAAGAGACAAGGGCTGTGATGTGAGAGACATGCACTGGACTGGTTGTCCCACAGTCCTTTACACCTTTCCAGCTGGGCAACCTCGGGGATGCTGACCTTCTCTGAGCCCCTGTCCCTCATCTCTGAAATGAAATGTGGGAATTGCTGTGCTGTATTAACGTGAGATGCTGGTTTCATTGCATCCTCAGCACTGGAAAGGGCTGCCCTTGGTCTGCCCTCTGCAGTGACAGAGGGAGAGACGGGGAGGCTCTGTGGGGTCCAGAGCCTCAGGGTCTGAGGTTTGGGGCTGCCTCTTAGGAGCCTGCCTGCTCTGTCTCCGATGCAGGGTGCCACCATCCGGCGGGATGAGCACTCCGGGGCTGTGGTGGTGGCCCGGATCATGCGAGGGGGCGCTGCCGACCGGAGCGGTGAGTGGCGTCCGTGCTGGCCTGGTGAAGGTGACGGCCTGGAAAGGATACAGCACGCCCCAGCCTTCCCCTTGTGGCCACGAGAGTCTCCTTTCCTTCTCCTCTCTGGTCCCCTGTTTGGGATGTGCTTTGCTTTCTGGGAGCGGGGCTGGGATTCTCTTCTCCTTCCCAAGCCTGGTAGAAATTTTAACCGTTTGAAAATACCTCAGGCATGGAGAACATTGGGGTTGATCAGAAGGGCTCCTGCGCTGGCCTCGCCGAGGACCGGGGTCCTTAAGCCCGCAGCGTAGGCTGGGCGGGTTTCCTGACTGCAGAGCAGGGACGCCCTTCCCCACCACCCCAGTTGTCGCTCTTATGGAGGGAAGGGTGTTCACGCCCCAGATTTGTTTGGGTGGAAAACAGGTTGAGAATCAGTGTTGTGTGTAACAACTACTCAGTTGGGAGGCAAACCTTCTGGTGTAGAGAGGTGTTACCCCCGAAGTCTGGGGATCACTCTTGTGGAGACCAGAGCTTCTCAAACATTAGCAAGCACCGGCCCCACCCCCAGCATCTTGTTAAATGCAGAGTCGGATGCAGCAGGTGTTGGGGGCCCCGAGATCCTGCACGCCAAACCGCCTTCTGGCCGCCGCTGCTGTTTGGCTAGCAGTTAGGGCCTCATGTGCAGAGACACTTGTCATTAGAACCAAGGCCTCTGGACAGGTGTCTTAGTACTCTTGACGTCACCTTTCCTGGTGCCTTTAAGTTTTCTTAAGATTTGAGAAAGACATTCTAAGAGTACGTCTGTTAACCTAGGAAGGTGAAGAGTTAATGATATTTCTAAAGAAGCAGAGGTTATAATGGGAAGAACCAGGCTTTCGATGTCAAAATAAGTGTGTTTGAACACAGGCTCCATTATTTCTTAGCAGAGTGGTCTTGGGCAAGCCACATAATTGCTCTGGGTCTCAGCTGCCTGCTTGTAAACTGGGGGTTTCCCTGGGTGGTTTTGAGGCTGCGATGTTGAGTGGGGCGCCCCATGTGCGGTAGGACTCAGCCGGCCCCCGGCCCGCCCACTGTCTTTATACCTTGAGTCCGCTGTGCATGTGGCAGGTTCCTCTGGTGGCTGCCAGTGGTGCCCTGGGGCTGAGGCCCCTTCCTGTGCTGATGGGCAGCCCCTGTGTCTCCTAGGTCTGGTCCACGTTGGAGATGAGCTCCGAGAAGTGAACGGGATCACAGTCCTGCATAAGCGCCCCGACGAGATCAGCCAGATTCTGGTCCGTGCTGCATGTGTCCTGGGGGTGGAAACGGGGGGCCGGTCTTTGGAGACCAAAGCAAGGCACTTCCAGGAGCCAGGGTGGATTCTGGCTCAGTCTCTGTGTTCATGAGGAGGCTGCAGGCAAAGTGGCCTTGTGGCATGCCCAGGGTCAGGGTGGGAGACAGGAAGAGTGGCACTCCTGGGCCACCTGCCTCTCAGACCTCTTCGGCAGAGCCCCACTCTCTTTCCTGAGGCCCCTTCTGCGACATCCCCTCAAAAGGGTCCCCTCTTCTGAAGGGCTTAGGAATATGGACTAAGAAGCTGCAGTACAAGGAGGACCAAGAGCAAGGGCTTTGGGGTCAGCTGGTCCTGGGTTCGAATCCTGCCTCCACTAGTTTTCAGCCGCGCAGCCTTGGGCCAGCTGTTAGGTCACCGTGGGTTCCACTTTCCTTTCCTGTAAAGTAGGAACAGGGAGCGTTTCTCATTCAATGCGTGGTTATGATCAGGATGTAAACATCCTGGAAAGGATACAGCACTTCACATCTGTGAGGAGATTCTAGGGTCTTAAGTGCTGGGATGCAAACAACCTCCAGAGCCCGTTCTGCAAGTTCAAGTCAAGCTGCAATTGTCAAAAGCCCCAACCACAGTTTTGTCTTCTTTATCCTTCTCCCCACCGACATGACCCTCTTTGCTAATTTCCGATGGTTTGGGAGGGGGCAGAAATGGGCTGATCTGACGAGAGAGGACCCCTCACCGTAGGGAGCCCTGGTTGCAGGCAGGCTCCTTTGGTCTTCCTGACCCCACTGCCCTTTCCCCAGTTCCGGGCCCTGGGCTCCTTGTGTTCTAGGGCAGTGCTGGGCCAGGGAGACTGTTGGGCGAGATGTGCTCTCATGGGTGGACTGCATTCTGCCTCGTGTCCCCCTCCCCCCATGGGGATGCGGGGTCTGTGTCAGGATAGAAGGAAGGGGAAGCCCCAGCAAGGTAGGGGTGGCCTGAGGTTGGAGAGCCCGATGGGGAAGATGGAAGCAAAGGGAGGGAAATGAAACTGAACTTGGTTATGAAAATAATCTGAGAGAAGAGAAAGAAGGGTGGCCTTTGGAGCACTAGAGGTCAGGAGGGATGGAAAGGAGGAACTCAGGGCGTGCACTGTCCTTGGTGCTCATGTAGAGTTTTGTGTCCCTTTGTCCCATGAAAATGCAGATACTGGGTTTTGAGTTTTGCTTTAGTTAATTCACGGGAGCCACCCCTGGAGGGTGGGCCACAGGGGAGGGGGCGCGCCTGACTTCCTTCTGAATGTGAGTTTCCGGATGGGGGCAGGAAGACTTGAACTCACCGACGGTTAGACATGGGAGGTGGTAAGCTTCGACCTCTCCCCTCTCAGGCGCAGTCCCAGGGATCCATTACCCTGAAAATCATCCCAGCCACCCAGGAGGAGGACCGTTTAAAGGACAGCAAGGTATGGCGGGGTCGGAGGCCGGGGAGGGCTTTGAAGCAGTCGTTCGGGAAGAGATCACACATCTGGTCCTCGGAACGTGTGCTCAGTAGAGAACTGTAATTCAGTCACACTGTGATTCATTTATTTGTACCTGCCTTTTTCTAAACCGGATTCGACGTAGCTTACTAATAAAAGACAAGGTTATTTTAATTGAAATAGAAAATTAGGGCCCTGAAGAGGAGAAACTACCAAATGTGCTGGTTTCGGGACCAATTAAGTAACTGCCATTTGCTTAATTCTTTGGTGAGCCTACCTTTTTTGGGCACCTCTGTGCTGGGCGCTCTGCCAGATGCTGGAGACAGGGACAGTTGGTGGCTTTGAGGACTCCTAGTTCAGAGAGGGATGCCGGGGAGCAAATCTTTCATGGCTCTGAGACTAGTGCTAGTGTTTCAGAAAGATTCTGAGCAGAGTTACAGATGCCCTGGAAGGGGACAGGTAGTAGAGGTGCTGGAAGTGAGGCTTGAGGCAGGTGAAGGCGAGTAGGACTTCCCTGGTGAAGAAGAGGGGGAGGGAAGTTCACACAGAGAGGTCTGCATCTACAGAGGCTCAGTAGGTGTGGAGAGGAGTACTTTTGGGGGTCGGTGAGAGAGAGCACCCTGGTCGGGCTCTGGAGGGGTTGTGCTGGGAGGTAGGTTAAGGCTATCTTTGGAATGGCCTTGAATGCTTTCTTAAGGGTGTTGGCATAATCCCGGCCTGGTTTGGGGCTCTCAGAGGCCGACCCCTGAGACGAGGATTCGAGCGCAAGTAGTTCATTTGGAGGTGACCCCGGGAAACACCCCGGGGAAAGGAAGGCAGTGAGTGCAACAAAGCGTGTGTCATCCAGCAAGTTACTACTGTGTCATCCTGCTGGGGAACTCGGGGATCCCGCGTAGACACGTGTCTTCCCACCCAAGAGCCAGGGGAGCTGGGAGATCTGTGCACCGACTCCTGCCAGGCTGCATCCAGGGATGGATTCCCAGCATTCTCGGCTGGCTGCATTAGAGTAGAGCGGTGACCAGAGAAAGCCCTTGGACAGAGAGACGCCAGGGCTGGCTGCTGGAAGTCTGGCTGGGGGGCGGGGTACTGAAATGGCGAGGCCCTGGGGGATGTGGGAACTCCCAGGCTGCCACGTTGGGGGAGGGCCGAGTGGGTAGAGACCGGAGGCAGGGAGACCTGGTAGGGAGGCTGTTGTAAAAGCCTCCGTGAGAGATTATTCTGACCCGAGCTGAGGTGGTGGTAGCCCTGGGATTCAATCAAAGTGTGCAAATAAGGAACAGTCACACAAAGATGATGAGAGAACAAGAGAGGGCATTGCTTTGGTTTCAGATAAATTGGAATCTGAACTGCCTGGCAGCCAGGGCAGAAAGGAGAGAAAAGGCAGGACATACTTTTCCTCAGGAGATGGAAGGAAGTGTGCCCATTTTTCAAGAAAGGTGATTCCCAGTCCCTGGCTCTGGGCACGAAATGTGGGATAAGAAGGAACAAATTATAGCACTTGGCATAGAGTAGATGTCGATGAGTATTTTGGTGAATGGGGATCAATAATGGACAATGTCTTTAGTGTCAGACTTTTACAGCAAACGAAGACATCATCTTTGTGTGACTGTTCCTTATTTGCACACTTTGATTGAATCCCAGGGCTTGCATAATATAGACTCTTATCTGATGGAAGGCGGTTCTTTCTTGGATATGCTAATGTGATCTTCATGGGCAGCTTTTGCAGCTTCTAACTTAATACAGGGAGAAAACTTGGTTTCCCTGGAGAAAATGGGTAACCTGTCCCTTAGCCCATCCTTCTTAAATATTTCTTCTTGATCCAGAAGCTTGATCTGGGCTGGCCATATAAGATTATACTCTTTTCCGAGTGCCTGGGACCCTGACATCTGTAGCTGGATGAGGATATCTGTCCTCATAATATCTGGCCAGAAAGTTTTTACCCTTGTCTAACTGAATCTTTTCTTTTTTTAAGATTTTTATTTATTTATTTGACAGAGAGAGAGAGGGCACGATCAGGGGGAGAGGCAGAGGGAGAGGGAGAAGAGGTTCCCCACTGAGCAGGAAGTTCAATGTGGGGCTCGATCCCAGGACCCTGGGATGATGACCTGAGCTGAAGGCGGACGCTTAACCGACTGAGCCACCCAGGCGCCCCTAACTGAATCTTTTCTGGTGGACACATAAAGGAATATGACTTGGATCTGTCTAAGGAAGCCCTGTGGCTTTTGTTTTGTTTTTTCTTTTTTTTTTTTCTTTTCTGTTTGTTGTTAAAGTAATTGGACCCTAATGGTCTGGTAATAGAGATAAATAAAATAAATCCGTCCACTGAATTATAGAACAAGAAAGTGTGACAAAATGCTGTATCTTCCCACCATCATCTCTAGAGGGGTGACTTCAGGGTAAAGGGGAGAGTTGGGGGTTGGCCGAGTATGTGGCAGATGAGGCAGGGTGAGCTGTAGAAAAATGTGGACGTCAGTCACCCACTGCAGAGTGATGATGAGGAGGTAGTAACAGTTGTGCTGTTGATATTTGTGTTCTAATCAAAGCATCTAGATCACTTATTTAACAGATGGCTGCTGACTTCATTAGGGGCAGTTAGCATATCAAAACCATCCTGCTGGTTCCCAGGACTGGTTGTTGCTTTGTGTATGCTAAGAGGCTGCTTTAAGGACTGCAGGCTGGGGAAATAGGGAAGTACTTAGGCTGGAAAGAGAAATTCAGATAGAGGGCCCATCTCTTAATTTTCTGAACCTTGATGGATTTCCCGACTGTAATATTCAAAACGGCTGCAGAACGAGAGGAAACCATGTGCCCTGTGTTTCTGATTAGCTTTCTGTCCTCGAGGCTGATTGCTCGTCCTGATGGCGAGTGATAGGTGTCATCTGGCGTTTGATGCGGCAGAGACACATCTGTGCTCACCCCCTTTTCAGGTGTTCATGCGGGCGCTCTTCCACTACAATCCGAGGGAAGACCGGGCCATCCCCTGCCAGGAGGCGGGCCTGCCCTTCCAGCGCAGGCAGGTCCTGGAGGTGGTGAGCCAGGACGATCCCACGTGGTGGCAGGCCAAGCGAGTAGGGGACACCAACCTTCGAGCTGGCCTCATCCCCTCCAAGCAGTTCCAGGAAAGGTGGGTCTGGGCTGTGCTGTCAGGGGGTGGCTCTGGAGTGGCTTAGAGGCGTGGGTACACGGCGGGGCCCTGGCCAGAGGGACACGCGGTATGTCGTTGCGGAGGGAAGTACCCATCGCCCTTGTGTTCAGTCTTCTTGCGCTCTAACCAGCGGGGATGGCCGTTTGAGATTTAAATACATGCACGGAAATCTATGTTGTCACTAAATGCATGTATGTTGTATAATACCTACTTAAAGAAAGTTGAAAAATAAAATATAAAAATATAGACGAGGAGGACGAGGGAAAGCTAATTACCCCAAGGCTCGCTACTATCTGAGATGGCATGATGGACATCCTTCCTGAGCTTTTTACGGGAGAGACACAGAATTGGAAGTCGTGCTTTTGGGGTCTGTGTCCTTTAACATGGCAACTTCAGCATTTCCCACGTTATTACCTCGTCTTTAGTGTGTGATTTTTAATAGCTATATAATATTTCATCAGAAAGGAGACCATGCCCTTCCTTCCACCGCCCCCTTCCAACCTAAACTAGAGCCAGTGGGCCTCTGGCCTAGCACAGCTTTCACCATGGCCCTCAGCGATGCTGACATGCAAAAGCAGATTAAGCATATGATGGCTTTTATTGAACAAGAAGCCAATGAGAAAGCAGAGGAAATAGATGCGAAGGCAGGGGAAGAGTTCAATATTGAGAAAGGTCGTCTTGTGCAAACCCAAAGACTGAAGATTATGGCATACTACGAGAAGAAAAACAGATTGAGCAGCAGAAGAAAATTCAGATGTCTAATTTGATGAATCAAGCAAAGCTCAAAGTCCTCAGAGCAAGAGATGACCTTATTACAGACCTATTAAATGAAGCAAAACAGAGACTCAGCAAAGTGGTAAAAGATACAACCAGGTACCAAGTGCTGCTGGATGGACTGGTCCTCCAGGGTTTGTACCAGTTGTTGGAGCCCCGAATGATTGTTCGTTGCAGGAAGCAGGATTTCCCTCTGGTAAAGGCTGCAATGCAAAAAGCGATTCCTAGGCACAAAATTGCCACCAAAAATACGTTGATGTCCAAATTGATCAGGAGGCCTAGCTGCCTGAGGAAATAGCTGGTGGAGTTGAGATCTATAATGGGGATCGTAGAATAAAAGTTTCCAATACCCGAGAAAGCTGGCTGGATCTCATAGCCCAGATGATGCCAGAAGTACGGGGAGCCTTATTTGGTGCAAATGCCAACAGGAAGTTTTTGGACTAAACCTTTGGGCGAGGTGAAGTTCATCCACCGCTCTCCTGCTGTCATGCGGAACTTTCTGATATTTGAAAAAACAAGGTATCTGTGTGGCTTCCTCTTCGCTGTTCTAATATTCTGTATTCATCCGTGGATCCTCTCTGTAGCTAATGCCCTTGGCCTAATTGTTAAAATGAGAGAAAGTTTCACTTACTCTGATCAGGAAGCCTCCTTCTTAGCTTATCTAAAAGTAGCACAACGTTCATTTGCTTCTGTAGCATGAAGGTGAGGGTATCAGATGGTGGTTACCGGAGCTTCCCCCAGTCTCGGCTCTTCCTCTCGTCTTCTGCTGTCAGTTCTCCACTAGAGGGTGATGTGTATGGTGTTCTCTGACATTCAGTTTCTGCTCTTTAGGCTTCAAACGCATGGGGGGCATGCATTCCTACCAGCAACAGTAGCTTCACTGTTCACCTGCTTGGGCCTAGAAGTGTTCCTCATCTGTACATGTGATTTAAAATCTAAGCCATGAATAGGTCTTATTTATTAAAACAAAAGGTTTACATGGGGAAAAAAAAAAGCAGACCCTGTACTCACGGGCAGCGAGTCTGGGTTCTGCCCTCCCTCCCCCCCAGGAACTGACAGTGTAGCAGGAAAGTCACAGGTGGTTCAGACGAACACTTTCTAGAAATGTGACGGGTTCGGGGGAGGAGGACAGCGGGCTCTGTGAGGTCAGATCCTGGGAGGGTTGCCCCTCACCTGGGCGTGCTCCGAGCGTCTCTGAGTGACTTCACTCCTTCCCTGTGGCTGTACTTTTAAGTTGTCTGCACCGTCTGGCTGCCCCAAGACCGCACTGATCACCTTGCACGTGAGACTGTGCCTCATTTCAAGTGGTTTCCTTAGGATAGATTTCCAAAAGTGTAAATGACTGCGTCACCTCTCACCTGTGCTATCTAGGCTTTGGTTTCCCTGAATTTTCCAGAAGGTTCTCTCTGACTGGTTTTGTGGCGGAGCTCATGGGCCTGCCCGTCTCCTTGTGTCCCTGCAGGCGACTGAGCTACCGGAGAGCCACTGGCACCCTGCCGAGCCCCCAGAGCCTCAGGAAGCCCCCCTGTGAGTAGATGGGCAGGGAAGCCCTTCAGCGAGGGGCCGGGGTTAGGAGTCAGGGGCTTCGTGCCCCGAAGAAGCGAGCGCTGGACTGGAGAGGGCACCAGGGGTCCTGTCTGAGCTGGGGGGCCTCCAGAAGAAGGAGGGGATGGGGAGAGGGATGAGGAGGGGAAATGGGGGTAGGTCGGGGAGGGGGGAGCTGTTCTCTGGAGAGGAGCTACTGTATTGGGGACCCATAGATGATACCGGGGGGCATGTTAAACACCTCTTCCAAAATTGTGCGCAAACGTGTGTGTGTGTCTGGGAGAGTGTCCCCTGCCAAGGCGCTCTCTGATCCTGATAGTTTCAGAACCACTGATGCTGGACGGGAGTGGAGAAGGCTGCACGTGACCCTGTGTTAGCTGTCAAATTTGGCACATAAAAATAAAGGATGCCCAGTTAAATTTGCATTTCAGATCAATAATGAATGGGTTTCTAGTGTAAGTATAGCTCATGCAATATTTGGGACATACTTATACTAAGGAATTATTTGTTGTGTATCTGAAATGCAGATTTAACTGGGCGTCCTCTATTTTATCTGGCACCCCTCCCCTGTGTAGCCCCTGCCTTCAGAAGACATTCCCACCTGTCACCTTGCCTTTTAATCGTCACAGTGTGAAGGAGTGGAGTCAGGACATCCTCTTTTCCAACGTGGGAAAATGGAGGGTCATGAGGTCAAGGGAGCGGGGCTGGGGTCAGGTTTTCAGAGGGCCTGTGCCCACGGCCTCCAGGTTAGAGCTCTGTATAGAGACGAAGCTGCCCCATGATATGGCTTCTCTGGCTCAGGGGGGCTCGGAACCAAGTGAGGGGCCCAGAGGGGTGTCCGGTGGCCGGAGTACAGCTGGCTGGCAGCCCTGCTCTGCTCCGCTCCACTGTCTGGCACCTGCCTTTGCCCAGGCCCGTCGCAAACCCCGGAAGAGAGAGAGCAGGTCCGGTCCCACTGCAGGCATCCTGGGGTGAGCTGCTCCCTGGCTTGGGGCCACTGCCCACGGCTGCTCTTCCAGACTTGCTCTCAAGTCAGAAGGGCTGCTGAGTAAATTGGCTTTGGGGCTGCTCACGCCAGTGCTGAGAGGGCTTGCTCCGGGCCGCTCATGAGACACACACAGGGAGACTAATTATTAGAGCTAGGCTCGGTTTAATAATGCACCGCAGCTCAGATCACAGGTTTGTTGGAGGAAAGAGAGAGGGGACAGATGGAGGGCTCCTTACGCACACGAGGCCACCAGCTGCCTCTCAGCCGCAGGGCCTCCTGGTTCCCGTCCACTAACGCTCTTCCATCTGTCTTTTGTGCAAACCGCAGATGATCAGCCTTGTGACAAAGGTAGGCTGGTATTTATCCCCTGTGCACCCGGACAAGAATGTAGACTGTCTGGAGCTGGAGGGGCTTCTTTTCCTCCCCCTGTGCCCTGAGGTGTGAAGAGCCGCTGGGGACAGAGCTCCTCCCTGCCCACCTGGCACATAGTGCCCCACCTTCCCTGGACTCTGGCTGGGCTAACTGTGCCACCAGCTGGGCGGGAGGCAGGAGACGGGAAGGTGGGGCAGGGCGAGTGAATCTCCCCTCCTTCTACTGATGGCGATCCTAACCCAGAGGGGCCTGCTGGCCCAGAACCCCTGCCACGGCCTAAGCATGGAGAATTGAGTGAAACAGAAGGACTTGGTTTCCTGGGGAGCCAGGACATGGCATCTCTCCTGAGCCCCCGCGAGACATCATTCCAGTGGGCTCCTCCTGGCCACCCAGGAGCCGGGTCCCTTTGGGTCAGGGTACGTGTCCAGCATGGCTCACTGGCTGCCCTCTCTCTGTTTGGTTCCCAGAGACCTGTGACTGTGAGGGGTACTTCAAAGGGCACTATGTGGGTGAGTATCGGGCCTCGCCCCCAGCACCCCCTGCCCTTCCCACGCACAGCCAACCATGGGCTCTTGGACCAGGGGAAGACAAGGTCAGAGTGACCTGAGCCCCAGCAATGCTTCAAGAGCAGCCGAGCCTGGGGGACCCACATTCCCCTTCATCTCTGTCAGCCAGGGGAGGGACTGACCTGCCCAGGCTTTGGGGTCGCTCCCTAACTTCCACCCAGCCCCGGGGAGCAGAGCCCTGGCAGGGAAGGGATGCGGACCGCTCCATTAACACCGATCTGTTATCATCACGGTCTCGGCCACGGTCCAGGCCATGTGCATGCCGCCACCACACAGTGATGGAGCCTTTTACCAGCCTCCAAAGGCCCTTTGCTGCTTTTATTTTATTTTATTATTTTTTTTTTAAGATTTTATTTATTTATTTAAGAGAGAATGAGATAGAGAGAGAGCATGAGAGGGGGGAGGGTCAGAGGGAGAAGCAGACTCCCCGCTGAGCAGGGAGCCCGACGTGGGACTCGATCCCGGGACTCCGGGATCATGACCCGAGCCGAAGGCAGTCGCTTAACCAACTGAGCCACCCAGGCGCCCCTGCTGCTTTTATTTTGCTTAGTCTTTTCAAAGGCATTTTCCCTGATCCAGGATCCAACCCAGGACCACACATTGCACTTGTAGATTTGTATTCCCGCTTCATAGATAAGGAAATCGAGGCTCAGAGAGGTGATGATTCTCCCAAGATCAGCCATGTGCTAAATAAAACAGTGACTGGGGCGCCTGGGTGGCTCAGTCAGTTGAGCGTCCACCTCTTGGTTTCGGCTCAGGTCATGATCTCAGGGTCGTGGGATCGAGCCCCGTGCCAGGCTCCGCGTTCAGCGTGGAGTCTGCTTAAGACTCTCTCTCCCTCTGGTCCTCTCCCTGTGCTCTCTAAAAATAAACATCTTTAAATAAAACTGACCTTGAACCCTATTTTTGGAGGCCAGATGGTCACCTTTTCTTCATTGTACTCTGCATCCTGATCAGCCCCTTCCTGTAACAGGAGGTAGTTGGGAGAGGTTCAGTGGGACTCAGCCCCCCTTCTAGGTCTGGCCAGGTAGAGAAAGTCTTTCCTGGGAGATTCTGGGACAAGTGCCACAGTTCTCCCTGCCCTTCCCACAAAGCTGGTCTTCGGAGAAGCTTCCGGCTGGGCCGAAGAGAAAGACCGGGAAGTCCCCAAGAAGGAAAGGGGTCTGTAGGAGCCGAGGCTCCAGAGCTGCTGACCTATGAGGAGGTAACCAGGTACCAGCATCAGCCTGGTGAACGGCCCCGCCTGGTGGTTCTGATTGGTAGGTGAGGTCCTGCATTTCCAGGGAGTGGGCTGGCTTCCTCCTGGACTCAGCAGGGACCCTGGTCAGCCTTCCTTTTGTTTCCCAGGATCCCTGGGAGCCCGACTGCATGAGCTGAAGCAGAAGGTGGTGGCAGAGAACCCACAGCACTTTGGCGTTGCTGTTCCATGTAAGAAGGCGCACACGGGGCTTTGTGTGTGCGTGTGTGAGCATGGATAATAGTTCATAGGGACTTGACTCCCCATATCCATCTGATCCTTACTTTGGGTCTGAGGGACCGATGGGCGCTGCCTGCTATGGGCAGATCATGGGACCTAGGCATGATAAGAAACCCACTTTCAGTGGTCCACTAGGACCCTCTGAGGCAGAAGCTGGAGGACCACTTGCCCCGTTCCTTCCTGGGGTGGGAGATGAGTCTAAAGGACATTGCAGGCAAAGTAGCAACCTCAGGGTGACACCAAGGGGCTATCAGCACCAAGGGGGCATTCCAGCTTCCTCTTCACAGTGACTCTGACTCTGATGGCCCCCGCCCTCTGCTTGGGTAAGAGAGCAGGGCAGAGAAGTCGGGAGCCTGGTGAGTTATGATACTGCTCGGGCACTCCCTTATAGCTGGCTTCCAGCCCATCAGAGTGGCTGGGCCCCCTCCAAGGTGCTCACACCCCTGCCAGTTCCTGAGGCTAGGAACAGCTGTGGATGCTGAGACCAAGGAGGCAGGAGGCCCTGGTTCTGGATGTGATGCGGAAGAGGGGAATGAAGGGTCTAGGAGCTTTTATGTGCAGTAGCTCGGGCAGCCCTCCCAGTACCCTTGAGGAGAAGGATGATCACCATCCTGTACCCAGAGGAAGACACTGGGGCTCAGAAAGGTTAAGTAACTTGCCCAGTGTCACACAGTTGGTAAGTAGTGGGGCCAAGATTCAAACCCAGGCCTTAATGAGGCCACACAAAGGGCCTCTCCCCTGCCGCCTACCGCTCCTGTCCTTGGCTGTCCCTTCCCTTTCTGGGACCCTCCGTTCTTCTGACCTCAGAGGGATGCAGTGTGGGCACTTGGGGTCACCGAGAGGGAAGGCTGTGGTGGCAGTGATGAGACTTTTCCAGAATGTCCTAAGGGCAGCTACCAATCCTTTCTTTTGCCGGACGCCTCTCCCCTGGACCTCGGGGCCCATAACCCAGTGTGTGGGTTGTCAGAATTGTCTTTCGGAGGCCTACCTGAAGTGGCAGGGATTGGAGGGAGGCGGCAGGGTTCAGGAAGCCATTCTAGTGGCATACCTCTGATGGACCTGGTAGGTAGGCTTCCGAGGGCCACTGCCTTCCAGGGTGGACTGAAACAGGACATGTGGAGGCTGCTCACACATGGGTCCTTCAGAAACCCCCAGATCTATCCCCCAAGACAGGGGTGCATGGATGGCCAGGCCTACCTGCTTCAGGCACCCCACAGATAGGTGACTTCCCCCCCCTTTGCTCTTAGGAACTGAAAGAGTCAAGGCAGACTTCCCAAGGCTTCCTACTTCAGAGAGGCGGTGACTTTTATCCTGGGTTTTGAAGCATAAATAGGAGTTTTCCAGGCAGAGAAGAAAGGAATAGTTCTCTATACAGAGGGAACAGTTTGTGGAAAAGGATGGAGGTGTGACCCAGGGTAGCAGCATTAGGGACTGGGGAGGCTAGTGTGGATGATGTGGGAGGAGATACTCGTCAAAGGTCTTTAGGATGTTGTCGGTGGCGAATAAGAAGTTTTTAAACAAGCGAATGACACGGTCAGAAAAGTGACCTTAGCAGCCCTGCCCAAGGTGGGACAGGGATGACACAGAGAGAGCACAGAGCATCCTTGTGTGGTCCCCAAGGGCATGATAATACTGTCCTTCAAGACCCCCTTCAGGGCCCTTTTCTTTTGGAATGCTCTGGAAAAGAGCAGTGTGTTCCTCCACGCGTGCTCTCGTTCTGTGAAGGACCTGATTTTCCCCCGAAGTGCGCACCTCAGTTCTATCACAGAAATCAGTGGAGAAACGCTGTATGTTTTGCAGTTATTTATGTGAGAGCCAGCTTTGCTGAAACCATCTAGTCCGTCACGGACTGTCTGCCTTCATGTCTCTTTTCTCAAAATGAGAAATAACCGAATAAGAAATTAAAAGCCTACAGCAGGGCCGTCTGTATCTGGGGCCCCCTGGCTCGCAGAAAAGAAAACAAGGAGGAAATCAACGGTTAGGACTAGGGATCCCTTCAGCGATTCTTTACAAGCCACACCACCTCAGCCAGGCTGTCTAGTGGGGCCCCTGAGGGCAAACGCTTGGCATGGGACGGAGCTCACACCCTGGCTTGGGGCTTGACCTCCCTGCACCTCAGTTTTCCTCCTCTGCAAAGGGGGAGGCCTCCTTTCCCACATCGAGGAGGGTGCCTGCCCCGCAGGGACACTGAGGAATGGGAATGGTGGGTTCATCCACTGAGCAGCGATGAGCTCCGGAGGGGAAGGAGGGCCCAGGCTCGCTGTTGTTCTCGTGCACTGTGAGGGGACATCTTTTTGCCCAGTTTCCCTTTTCCTTTCTTTCAAAGATACCACCAGGCCCCGAAAGAGCCATGAGAAGGAGGGGGTGGAATATCATTTCGTCTCTAAGCAAGCATTCGAGGCCGACTTACATCACAACAAGTACGTGGCGTGGTGGCCCAGCTGGCCCTCGGTGCACCCGTCTGGTGTTCCCCCTGACCTTGTGGGAGGGCTTTCGGGAAGGATGGGGGATGCGGGAGAGGAGTTACGGTGGAAAGTCCATCTATCTTGCCCTGCTAATTTAGGCAAACTCAGGAACTAAGGGCCCGTTCCCTGTTGGTGGTGTTTTAGGTTTCTGGAGCATGGTGAATATAAGGAAAATCTCTACGGAACCAGCCTGGACGCCATCCAGGCGGTGATGGCCAAAAACAAAGTGTGTTTGGTGGATGTGGAGCCGGACGTGAGTTTCTGAGCCAGTTGGGCGTTTTCTGTTGGCAGAATATATAAATGAGGGGAGGGGTGCCTGGGGGCCTCAGTCGGTTGAGTGTCTGACTCTTGATTTCAGCTCAGATAATGATCTCAGGGGCCTGGGATTGAGCCCCGCATCTGGCTCTGTGCTTAGCAGGGAGTCTGCTTGAGATTCTCTCCCTTTGCTCTCTCTCTCAAAATAAAAAAAAAAATAATAATAAATGAGGGGACTGTATATTTTACAAAACATTTGACCCCAGTCTAAGGCTTTTTTAGTCCAGAGGACTGGATGTTAAAATTTCCTTAAGTCTGCCTTTGAGAATCTAAGGAAAGCTCTGTAGCCCGAAATGTGCACATGTATGCACAAAATGGCATTCACTGTAGGGTGCTCCCAGGCCCCGTGGTGGCCTGCAGACCTGGGGTCGTAGCCTCTGCACGGTGGGCATCAGGCAGTGGGCGGGCGCTGCTGGTCAGCAGTAACAGGACCGAGAATTAGATGCCACTGCGCAGGTGGATGCTGGGGCCCAGCTCCCCGTATCAGGACACCGCCCCCGCGCCCCCACGACAGGTCAAGTCAGTCAAGTCAGTGGCTCAGGGCATCACCGAGAGAGGCCACCCGGAGAGCAGTTGGAAAGAGAAAAGGGAAGGAGACAGTGACCCTGTGAAGGGCGTCAAATCTACACCCTGCCTGCTGTGTGTTTGGCGGGGGCTCAGGCATCTTCTTAACCTCGTCTTTGACAAATCTTCTAAGCTTTGAACTCAATCTGGGTTTTTTTTTCCTCTATAGAAATGGAGCTCTGATTTTATGCTATAAGGTGTAGACTTTATTTTTTATTTTTTTAAAGATTTTATTTATTTGACAGAGAGAAAGACAGCCAGAGAGGGAACACAAGCAGGGGGAGTGGGAGAGGGAGA